ATTCTAGTAGAGATAAATGAAAAGTTAAAGTACTTCCTTATAAAAGTCACTGAGTGAATCATATTCTGAGGCATAAGAACTAAGATAACTTCTAAAACACTTAGAACAGTTTTATTATTTTTAAACTGTATGTGGCTCTTTAAAGAAGAAATAACAAATATATTTTACTAGCTGTTGCTATTAATTACATCTTCTTATTCTAAAGTATAAAATCAGTCAATTTTCTGCATCTTTTTAAAATAAAAAATGCACACTGTATAGAAATATAAATTTACCTTTCTTGTATTTCACTATTATGGTACCACAAAACTTTCAAAGCATTTGGATGACTTTATTTATCTACCTTCCTACATACCAAGTTATAATATGAAATAAGAGTATAAATAAGGAATATCTAGTTAGCTAATAGGGAAGCAGAACACAAAAATATAATCAAATGAAATTTTCTCATTGCACTAAAATAACTTTTTTCAAGCAGAAAGTTTATTAGAATCAAATCTTTAAAGTTTTGTTCAGCTATATTACCATACATCAAACCTCCATTAACTGGTGAATTTTTTTGCTAAAAAAATGGCCATTAGATACTACCACTATGTATTTGGAATGATTAAACTGATGGCAGAAAAAATACACAAATGTCAGGAACAGAACAAATGGAAAAAATTAACTGTACAAAAGAGAAACAAAGTAACATTTGAGCAGATAAAATAAAATTTCCAAAGGCCCATGTCACTTCCAGAGGAAAATAATTATTAACAAAGAGACTATCATTGAAAGTATGAAGATTAGTTTTGGAATTTCCATTTCTAAATTAAAGAAATATTTCAATTTAAAAATAAAACATTATAATTCTAAAATGAAATCATTTAAATGGAAAAAGTCCAACTAAACATGAATATGAAATATTATATGCTGCTGATTTTTAATTGAAATCTGTGCAACCAGTACAAATTTTTAGTAAAAGAAGATGACAAATAGTTTTTTTAAAATATAGGCTTCATTTTCTGTCTCCTAAAAGTATCTTTACATTTGTTTATTAGAATATTTTAGAAGATATTAAAATTTGGGTTTAATATTTGATGTCTATGTGATATATTTGTTGGACACAGCTGTCATTATTTGTCATTTGGAAAGAAAGTTCTTCCTTATATGTATGCACATTGCTTCTCACAATGTTTTCCAAAGAATTCACAGAATTTATTGACCAAGAAAATAGCTGCTTGCTTCTTTAACATTTTAGAGGTATTTCTGATTAAACATGCACTATGTGCATAGTACAAGGCATTGGATGAGAGGGCAGGCTCCAAAGGTATTTTTAAAAACATTTGTAAAACTTCACTATTTATAACTGTGGAACATTGAAAAATTACTTAGTATTTATTGACTATAACAGTTCTTACCTGTATGTAAATGCTATAAAACCAAAGTAGGATGATATGTATTAAATACCAAGCAAACTATCAATAGCTTTTCAGTCATGTACATGAACTGTTTTCATCTTCTTTCCTTTGGTTTGCAAATATTAAAAGAAGTTTTAACTTACACTTCCATATGGATTTGCTATAATGTTATCTCAATGTATAAAGATGATTATTTGTGTAAATTCTTCCATTTGGAAACAAATTTGTATAGAAAAGACACAAGTTTTGCTTGTATTTAGATTTAGGATTAAATTCCAAATGTGTGGATTAATACATTTCCATCAGGATAAATTTTATTATATGTAAAGATGAAAATTTTTTTAGATTTTGCAGGTTATATAAGGAAACATTGGAATTAAGTTTGCACTGTATATAGTAAGTGGCAAGAATTTAATAAATTCAAGTTCTACCTTCTGATTCTATATGGATAGTCAGATGGATATAGACAGATACATAGATGAAAGATAAATAGATAAATCACATAAATGATGAAGAGAGATACAAAGATAGATGAGATGCAAATAGAAAGATAAATAGGTAAACAGATGACAGACATAAATGAGAGAGGGAGAAAACAGATTAACAGAGACACAGAGACAAAGACAACTTTCCTCTCCACTAGTTCCATATAGTTATTTGAAGGCAGGCTTCAGTTTAAATTTATTTTAGATATTCTTGAAGCATTTAACTTTTCTTTACAGCTTCAAAGCATTTGACAGATATTAAATAAATGCATAAACAAAATCAGTGGGTCAATTAGTCAATGAAATGTTATTTTAGCTAACCTTAAAATTCATGTTTTAAATAAGGGGAAGTCAATCTTGTTCTCATATGTAATTCACAGATTACCTAAGTGTAATTTTTGGATTCATAATAATTTCTCTTTATTTATCAATAGAGATGTATGAAAACTATTTGCTTGCAGAGACATTTCTATTGATATTCTTATCCTTAAACTAGCAGTAGATCATGTGTAATATTAACTAAAACATAATGCCACTTTTGCCTTCTCTTAAAGATGATAACCACCTTCTTAAGATATTATTGTTTTATATCAAAATTAAAAAAATAGCTTTTCAATATAAATTGCATTTTCAGCCATAATAAATGGGACAATCTTATTTTTCTGTAGGTAAAAGTAATACATTCACATAAAAAACATTGCTTAGTTAGTGGAGGGAACTCAAAGAGTTAAATATCAACAGTTCTTTTGTTTTTTTTATTAAGAATTTTCTTCAGATAGATTATAATAAGTACAAACTCTTATTTTATCCTGCTTTACAAATAGTATCCAGAGAATGATCTACCAATCACCAGATGTTTCATATACATAGATGGGTCTATCTAATGCTGTGTGTTCACATATTATGATCCAGCAAAATACTGCCTAAGATGTGTCTAAAAGATTCACATATATCATAGAATCACAGAGTCACATCTCAACATGTCCATTTAAGTCACTTCAAGTAAATATATATGTTTGTAGGAAGTATAGCTATAAGATAAATTTTCAAATTGCTCTGTTACAAGTAATTTAAAGACAGTAATGCACTGTTACAAAGAAAGTTGCTATGGTAAAATATAAGAAAAAAGTCATTGGTTTACAATTAATACTTAAAAGACAAAGTTTTGATGAAGTCAATTTTAAAATAAATCTGGTATAATTATATTCAAGTAGAAATATTAACATCTATATTTCTATACTGAGTATGTATTGATTTATTTTCAACATATAAATAAGTATATGTTAATACTTATATATTGATATGAGTACTTGTATGTTTATATTAAAATTTCAACATGATTTTAAATGTTAATAACACTGTATCTGCTGATGTATATATGCTAGTACAGACTGCACTATAGATAAAATTTTATTTTCTAAGAATCAACAATGAATAAATAACTTAGAAGCTATGTGTGTATAGTTTAAATGTAGTTTCTCAAAAAATCTGAAATGATAAATACTAACTACATTTTAAAACTGAATATTTTAAAGATTAATATGCCAACTAATTTTATATCAATATTAATCTAACTAATGCATTTGTCATTCTAAAGTCTAATTTATATAACACTTCTTTTCATTTTTCACAATAGAACATAAAAAATCTATTCACTAAGGCAAGTGCTGTAGTGAAAGTGGTTGAGCTACTGCTTGTAACATCAGCATCTAATATCCAAGGGCCTGGGATGAGTCCCACTAGTTTGCACTTCCAATCCAGCTTTCTCCTGATGCTCTTCAGCAGGCAGCAGATGAGGGCTCAAGTACTTGAGTCCCTGATGCCTAGTTCCTGCTTTTGGTTGTTGCAGGCATTTAGGGAGTGAACTAGCAGATGGAAGATCTCAGTCTCTCTGCCGCTCATTCTCTCTCTCTCCCTCTCTTTTCTTCCCTTCTCTCCATGACTCTCTCTCTCTTTCTCCTCTCCCTCTCACTGGCATTCTGCCTCCCAATTAAATTAAATCTTTCAAAATAAACCCTCTATTTATGATCTCCAATCTTACATGTAAAAGTAGCTTATTTATCTTTGGGTGAAAATTATCAATGAATGACTCATTGCCAAATATTTCATTGTGTTTGAAATGCTAAAATACCATAATTAATAAAAAGCCACATTAAATAAATTGGAGATAGACTTTTTAAGAAATCTGTATTAAAATGCTTCTGAATAAGCTTTTTCAGTGTAAACAATTTTGTATTTGTTTGGTTTTCATGAGCAGTTAGATGTAAACCAAAAGAAAGAACTAAAATTTTGGCTTAGATATTACTTGACTCTCTTGAAAGACTATTTTGGGGCCGGCCTTGGAGCTGGATTAAGCCTCTTTGATTGTGACATCTTCACCCTACATGAGAGCTCGAGAGCATGTTATCTCCACTTCCAACCCAGCTCTCTGCTAATGTGTCTGGGAAAGCAGCATAAGTTGGTCCAAGTCCTTGAGCACCTTTACCCACAAGGGAGACCCAGAAGAAGCTCCTGTTCCTGGTTTTGGTCTGACCCAGTCCTGGTTGTTGCAGACATTTGGGTAGTACACTAATGGATGGAAGATTCCTCTTTCTCTCTGTCTCCCTCTCTCTCTGCAACCCTGCTTTTCAAATAAATAAATCTTGAAAAAAAAAAAAAAGAGAGACTATTTTGAAACTAAAAATAAACAAGCCCTGGTAAGAGCTATAAATTTCCAAGAACTTATTTCACCTAAAAGGTAATGAATTTCTTAATTTTAAATATTCTAAATTAGTAGATTACAATGTGTATATCCAGCTAATGCATATCATATTTTTGTCACTGGTTAAACTCAACATAGGAAGGGTCAGGAGATGTCAACAAAACATGAACAATTCAGTAATTGTTGGTCAAGTTCTCATTTTAAGAATATTAAAGGCTGATATCCATGTTCTTCATTGTAACTCTGTTGTAACTATGATAGTGAATAAGTGCTTTCTGTCTGAGGACAATCAGGATTTTCTGTTTCTCTTATTATCAATAGTGCATTCCATGGTGATAAAGTGCAGTGCTGGTACTAATAGTTTTATAATTGCTTAAGCTTTACATTTTGTAAGCATTGGAAGACTTCACTCACCTTGTTCAAGTGGCTGGCTTTTAGTTGAAGTGGTTTTCATCTTGAGTGCCTCCCTAACAGACATGTCACAGCAGGAGCCTTTGTTAGTGTCTTGGTCACTGTCAGCCTGATCACTGTCCCCGTGCCCACTGTCTCTCAGGCTGGCTCTTTCTGGGTCCTTAAACGTGGAGCTACTGAAATACATATAAAGAAAAAGAAGAGAAAGTGTTGTCTCTACTAGTTTGAATCTGAAGTGTAGTCTCTTGCAAAGCAATTTTGACAGGAATGCAAATGGGGAAGCTGAGAAAGTTATTTAATAGGCCTTACCTTTGAACAAACTGCTGCCTGCTGCCCATGTAATTGGGCTCTGCGGGAAAATTGTCTGTCTGTGAAAGAGAAGGAAAAAAATACGTATAGTTGTACACTGGACAAATCTCCTGCAGAGCAACAAGATTTCCTAGTGGAAAAATGATTAATAATTCAAAATTTCCCTTAATCTTCAGATTTGTACATTTTAATTAAATTGGAAATTGCTGACATGTAATTATGTACTCAGAACAATTAAATGATTCCGGTCCACAAATTACCTGTTAAAGTAAACAATGAGCCTGTCATAACTGGCATTCTCTGTTAGCACCAGAATGGATAGCACTGTGTTGTTTCATTACTTAGATATTAAGATTGAATATTTGTAGGAGGAGTGGGAAAATGACCTAATTTCTCCATATTAAAAGTGTGAATTATTTAATAATACTCATTTTTAAGCATAATTACATCATCTGCTGGGATTCTGTGCCCTTCTTGATGCAATATCATTTAAAGGCATCCATTCCTCAATTAACAGATACAGGGCCTTTCCTTCAAATTTTGCCAGTAACAGACACAAGGATGCCACATATGGTTGAACTCATCTCTATGATTCATTGCTAGCTGTATCCCAATTATTGAAATTAAATCCAAACAATCCAATGGGAAAAAATGTGATACTTCCTGGCTATTAAAAACAAAGTAAAATAAAAATTAGGGGAAAAGAAGTTACTTAAAGCATTGAGAGTAAAGATGTTGAGGAGCTAGGCTTGTTTTTGTGGTTGTTTATACTGCTTCCAAACTGACATGGAGGTCTGCCAAAAAGAACTGAATTCTCCTTGTATCATGGAACAGAGTCTTTTGGGAGAAAGAGACTAGATCTTTCATAGATCTGCCTATACTGTACATTCATACACATTCCTTTTTCTTGCAGCTGACTCAGTGACAAAGCTTCTCCTGTTTTCTCATCACTTCATATCACGCCATTATTCTCTGAAGCAGCTATGGGTCCGTACAAGACCATCCAGCACACAAGTATCAGTAACACAGGAAGCATGCAATTCATGAAGCAGAGGGCCCAAGGTAAGGCTTAATGTAGTTCAATATGTGCTTTCTTTATAAACAAGGCTAATTTAAAGTAAGAGTATTGTTTTCTTCCCATATGATGATTTATTTGGCTTTATGAACTATTATTGAAAAAAAAAGAAATATGTTAAAAAATAGTTTTAAGTATCATATAAAGTCTGCTACACGTTTAGGGGCAGGGAAACCCTTCACAAATTTCTTAATCTATAATCTTTTTATATGCAATCCTTGTCCAAAGGATTTTTATCAAATTACATGCAAATATAAAGGTGAATATATCAGATTAACTTCTCATTCCTGTCTTTTAACTATTAGTTAGCAAAAGGTACTTTCATTAAAATGTATTAGTTTCCAGATTCAGTGAAGCATCATCTTTTTTGTTTCATTAATGAAAAAGTATTCTTTTAATAATAACTTTGATTTTCTAGTATAATTAATAGTGATGACTAACATCCATGGTAAAAATCTGTGCCAAAAAATGTTGCCAACTTTTAAGAACATAATTACTTAGGAATTTTACAAATTTTGCGAAATCTAGTTTGCTCTTTAAACTGATTAAAAGTATGTATCTAATACATTACTGCTATTAGTTAAAAGTTTAGGATAAGTGTCTTAGAACATTTTGGGAAAACAGAATTGTGAGAAATAAGGAGAAAGTAAAACGTAATGTGAAATTGGAAATTCTGGTTAGAAAAAATGTTATTATAAGTAGATCTGTGATTTCAATTAAGTAGGATGTGTCCCTATTTGGGACAGTGGAGAAGTGTTTCTTCTGTCCTAATAGGATTAGTTTTAAAACATGTTGGCATATTATTAAAGATATAAACTATTATAATAAATGAGAAACAAATAAAGAAACAAGACATATTTTCTCACTGAATGAAGAACTCTTAAACATTGCATGTGCATTTGTTTCTGTGTGTGCATAAATCTAGAATGCATCAGAATGTCTGAAGAACACCGCACAGTGCTACTGTTACCAAACCTTGTTTTGATGAAGAAAGAAAAATAAGAGGAAAGGAGAAAATCAGGGATTGGGAAAGAAGGAAAAAGAGAAGGAAAATAGAAGCAGAGAGAAAAGCAAGTAAAAATGCAAGATAAAAGAAAAGGAGGGTGAGAGAAACAAAAATCTATTTGAAAGGGAGGGAGGCAGGTGAGAAGCCAAGAGAAGCTGGTAAAACAAAACATGGGAAAAAGAAAAAAAGTTGCTTATAATCATAGAATTTCACAAAATGCAGATCAAAAATTTGTAACAATAAATACTAGAGTATCAACAGTTTACTAATTATGTCTGAACTTATCCATTAAGTAGATAGGAATGTGAGATTCTGTGTGTGTATAATTACCATAATGAAATAGCCATTTGTTTCTTAACAAAAATATAACTAATTCACTATGAAAACCACACAGTTTAATATATAAGGTAATATTTTCATTATTGAGGTTCCATGGTTATCTCAAAACTCATTTTAAAAACATGAATACCAAATAGTGGTAACTGCATAGAAAAAGTGAAAATAGAGAAAAAACACAAAGCAGCATCAATTAATTTAGAGGTAGGGGAACTTTCAGGTACTTTACAACATTGTATTCCAATAATTGAATTCTAGCTTCTACATTTATAATTCTTAAATTTTAAGTCTCAAAAGAAAATAGGTATGAAGTCATATTTGTTTAACTCTTTAGGTCTCAGTAAAATAATTTATAATAAATATTTACAGGTCTTGAAAATGTTAGCCTCTTTCTTACAAATTACTACAATGATTTGTCTTCAAGCCCAACTTAAACCTAGTGACTTTTAACTATTATTTCAAGAATATGTAACTTTTTTCACAAAAACTACTGTGATTTCAATTAGAGGGTAGTTAAAGTAATGTTCTCAAGTAGACATTTTGAAAAATGTAAGGTATGTTGATTTATTCAATCTTTCAATAATCAAGAACAATTTAGACAAAAATTTTCATTTTAAAGTACTATTTGCTCATGACAAAATATATCGGAATAGACATAAAACAATGTGTATTTCTATTTTTGTTTTTTTAAAAAAATTATTTGTTAAAAGCAATAAAATTTGCCTAATTTTTGTTCAGGGAACAAAGAAATAAGGTAATAGGCAAGTAAACTAACACTTTATATGAATAAAATCTTTAGGATATGAATGATTTCCTTGATTATTTGCCTTCACTCATTTTTCTACTAGTACTCAACAAATTACAATGTATTTACAAATGACATTCAAAATTTATCAGCATTATTCAATAGAAAACTAACCCTAAGCTGTGATACTTTGTACAACTTGGACATTCTACTAGAACTCAGAAACTCAGAATATGATTTTTTTTTTTAAGTAGCTCTTATGGGGCCAGCACTGTGGTGTAGTGGGTAAAGCCACTGCCTGCAGTGTCAGCATCCCATATGGACACTGATTCGAGACCCAGCTGCTCCATTTCACATCCAGCTCTCTGCTATGGCCTGAGAAGGTAGTAGAAGATGGCCCAAGGAGATGGCCCTAGTCCTTGGGCCCCTGCACCCCACGTGGGAGACCCGGAAGAAACTTCTGGCTCTTGGCTTTGGATCGGCCCAGCTCTGGCTGTTGCAGCCATCTGAGGAGTGAACCAGCAGATGGAGGACCTCTCTCCCCCACCCCTGCCTCTTTGTAACTCTGCCTTTCAAATAAAATAAATAAATCTTTTTTAAAAAAAAGTAGCTATGAGAAAGATCCAAAAATAGTAGCTAGTGAAAGTGAACCATGTTGGTTGAAATTAGGAAAGCTCTTTATTTGTGAAAGTAGATTAATCTGATATTGCTCTTTGAATGTGCCTTTATCTGAAAGTGTATTGAGTAAAAGGAGAAAAACAGGTTTTTTTACAATTAAAGAATTAAAATAGAATTTTTTAAAAAATTAAGCATTGAAAAAAATTCAAAATCTATTAATGATAACAATGTTCAATAAACTAGGAATGGAAGGAAACTTCATCAACTTTGTAAAAGGCAGCTGCCCCCCAAAAACACCCAAAAAGTGTAGCTACCATCATACTTAATGGTGAAAGATGAAAAGCCTTCCCCCAGGCAAGGAGGTTCACTCTTACCATGCCTATTTATCATTGTGCTGAAAGCCCTATCAAGTTTAATAATGCAGGAAAAATAAATAAAAGTATGTAAATTGGAAGAAAAAAATGACAATATCATTGTATTCACAGATAATATTGTTCAGGCAGAAAACAGCAAGCAATAAAAAAAAACACTGAGAACTAATTAATAAATGAATTAAGCAAGGTTGCTAGATTCAAGGTCATCACGCAAAAGTCAATCACGTCTCTGTATTCTAAAATGAACAATTTGGAAATAAAAATTTCAAAAGTGATGAATTTATAATAACTTCCCCTCAAATCAAATTCTTAGTATATAAATGCAAAAAGTTTGCAGAAAGATATGCTGAATGTTACAAAAATGGTGAAATAAATTTTTAAAATTCTAAATAAACAGAGAGTATTTACAGATTGGAAGATTCAAAATCATAAAGATGTCAATGTTCCCAAATAATCTATGCATGTTATATGTTTAAATTCCAAGCACGATATTCTTTAGATAAAAATAAGAGGATTATTTGATTTATATAGAAAAGTAAATGAACTATAATAAGCAAAGCAATTTTGGGAAATAGAATTAAGTTGAAAGAAGCTACAAAAACTCTATTTAAATAAAGACTTAATATTGAGGTTTTGTAAATTAAGGCAGTAGTGCCAAATGAACGGACCTGAAAATGGAACAAAACAAAATATAGAGGAAGCGGACCTACACAAATACCTATTTAACAGAGAATTAAATAGAAATGAACCTTCACCTACATCTAAATACGGATTTTGGATCTAAATACAAAGCATAAAATTATAAAACTTTTTAAAGAAAAGCTAAAATAAAATGTTTGTAAGCTCCTTAGATAAGATACCAAAGCATGATCCACAGAGTAAAAACTTGGACCTTATTAAGTTAT